TACAAAATTACGTATTACCAACCTCGAATTCTCATGTTTTCCCAATCAAAATATCCACAATATTGAAACCCAAATACATGACAAAGAAAAATGAAATTCATATCGTAATAAGGAGGGTGGCGCTCATAATGAGCTCATTCTTGCTCATGGGCCCCATCTTCTGCAAGTTTTCCCTTGCAAGCCTCGATGCATCAGGCTACTTTTCACCTCAAGTGGATAGACCAAATGCAGTATTAATGGCATGACAACCAATGAAAGCAAATCGGGAACAATGACACTCACTACCCAAGCAGTCCATCTAATTGGTTGCCTTAAAACTGCACCAGCGAGCTTCAAGCTTAATGGATTAGCAGCCATGGCAGTTAAGAACATAGCGGAAGAAATACAGGAGGTTTTGGAAACAAGTGATCATAAGCCATGAACTAAGCTTTTTCTCAGTTCCATATCCTACATTGGAACCATAAGCTACACAGAGAAAGAATATACCACTTGCTCTAGCTGAGACAGAGGGGATAGCAGGAGCTAAAAGAGTTTCGCTAAAAAACCAAACTGTATCCTAGAGATGAATTTCTAAAAAAAAAAAAAAACGAGAGACAAATTGGTAAGCTACTATGTTTCCCAACCTCGTTTTGATGAATCCTCTGGCAAAGAAGAAAGCCAAAGCAATTAACCATGGAATTCGATCACCAAAGGCTAAGAAAGCAGTAGTGAAAGTCAGATTTTTGGTGAGAACAGTGGCTTCAAGCTCCAAAAGGGCCACAATGCCAAAAGGCAATGGCTGCGTGATTATGCCGACAATTGTACCGAGAACAATAGCGATAATTTGCCATGCATTTCTTGAAACACCAACACGTGATGGGATGGCAAGCCCACGTTATAGGCCTTTGTTGAAGTCAACCAGTGATGGAAAACCTTGCTTTGATACGATTGTTAGTCCTAATGAAAAAAATACTAAATAAATAAAATTGAAATCGATACACAACTTACTCGGATTTGTCCTTAAATCACACGAGGGACTTAAGGTTCTATACCAAATCCCATAGACCAAGCTATCTGGTGGCAGGCTACCTTGAGAGTTTTCTTGGTGAATCTCCTTCACCTCTTTTATATTCTTCTCTATCTCTACTTGAGGGGTTAAGCTATTTTTATAGAGAACTATATTTTATAACTCTCACATTCATGGTCTATAAGAGTTAAGATCCAAGTATAACTCCTGCATTAGTTTTCTTCAGTACAACCAATTAGGATTAACAAGTTGTCACTAAACTGTTAATCCTATACAATGAGCTAAATCGGTCATTAGTGTACTAATGACTCTCATAATAGGATGTCATCCAAAAATTCCTACAACTTGATAAAAGATATTTATAAATTAAATAATTTTGTCTATCTATAATATAAAAAATAATAATTCTTACAAAGAATCTAAACACATCACTGGGTTTTCCCTCCAGTGACACTGGGATTTCCCTCCAGTGCAACCTCCTGTAAAAGCTTCAAAACGGACCCTAGTATATGGCAGTGCCTCATGCCAACCACATGGAATTTCACATATACTATACAATATGACTTTTGTACCATTATTGAAAAATAAATTTTCGAGATAAAAGGACTTGATAGGCCATATTTCCAGCATAGCATGTATTGTAGAGAGAGGTAGAGAGAGAGAGAGAGAAGAGAGAGAGTTGTGTAGAGATTTGAGATGGGAGAGGCCCTATTTATAGAGCTTCCAGGGGTTTGGGTTTCCTTAGGGATAACCATTCTTATGTATATTAGATCAAGACCATTGATCATAAGAGACATGCGGGGTGAGAGATCTGAGCCATTTATTCTTTAGATCAGTCATCATGATTCAAAAGAAAGTGCTAGAACCTTATCATTCAGTTTTCTAAATATTATTCCATCAAATATTAAAGGTATGAAAAATATTAAATAGATATTATTTTTGTATAAGTCTCTTTATTTATACATATCCTTTTTAAATATCTAATCTTCTTATGTATCTAAAAATTCCATAATGCATATCTGTTGAATATCTAAAACTTCTTACTTATTAAGTTCCATATTACATACCTTGTTTAATTACCAAGATATAGATAAAATATATCCCCACAATGGATGGTGTGATGTTCATGAGGCTCTAAGAGGGCCTCATATGCATATGCCAAGTGGATGATGGACCCCCATATTAAATATAATATTTTTTTAAAAACGAAATTGATTTTTATAATGTGGAAATAAAATTTATTTCTCTGAATATTTTAAATCAATATCTTTTAATTTGTAAAAATAAAATATCTAGAAACTTATAAAAATTCAAATAATTTATCTAAAAATCAATTAACATCAAAATAATTAAAGCCAAATAATTTAAATGGGAATTAGATCCATCTAGATCTAGAAATTATAATATCACTGAAGAACTTCATCATCTATTGTGGACTATAATCCACATTTGTGTTTCTCAAACTGACCTAACAATTCCCATAACCCACAGATCACTGCAGAGGTTCATGATTGAGTTACCAATGTTAGCCAATAGACATGGGAACAATGGGTGGTGTGATACTCATGAGGCTCCAAGTGGGCCCTACACACATATCCCAAGTAGATCTATGATGGATTTTAAAAATAAAATTGAACTTTATTTCTCTCTAAATATTCTAAATCAATATTTTGTAATTTGTAAATCAATTTTATAAAAATAAAATATCTAGAGACTCATAAAAATTGAAATAATTAATCAAAAAATAATTAATATCAAAATAATTAAAACTAAATAATTTTGTTGGGAATCAGATCTGTCTAGGTCTAGAAATTATAATTTCGCTTAAGAACTCCATCTTCTACTGTGAACTATAATCCACATTTATTTTATCAAACAGACCCAGCAGTTCTTATGACCCATATATCACTGCAGAAGTTTATGATTGAATTACCAAAATCAGCCAATAGGCAAGAGAACATTATCCCAGTCTATGGATTATATATCCTTCCCTAGAGACGAGTCCAAGATCACACAGACCTAATATAACCACTGCTCTATGGTGCATAACGGTAATCTCTCAAACATGTGCATGCTTCACCTTTAGTAGTTGTTTGCTTTTCCGATATGGCTATCATATGCACATATCGTGTGATGGTTCAGTGATGAAGCATTGCTTATGGTGTCTAAAGGTCAACCATCACATACAAGGGTCATATAGTCCCTTGGCTTACGCACTCGGGCAACTCTGACGTCATCAAGGGATAACCTATAAAATCCTCTTTGGTTTTTATTTCATGCCCATGTAACATAGGTTTTCTAATTTGATTGGTCAAACACATCAAGCCAAGTCTGAGTATCGGCAAATAACATTTGCCTAATCTCGGTTTAGCAGGACCATAGTTCTATTGAGTTGATGTTCCACTATATCAAATATTTTAATACAAGCTCTCATAAAGCCTTTAATGACCACATAAACCCAACAATATTGTCTTGAATTGCTGCAAAATGGGTTTGATGAAAAAGAGGCAAGAATAATAATCAATTAGTCGAAATCCCTTATTGTTTCGCCCCTACAAAGTTCTTTCTTAAGACCATATGTGTCCCCTATCAATAATGTAAAAGATGTGCATAAGAAAGAACAATTCATTGTCTAGTTACAAGAAAGTAGAAGGTATCTTTTGATGCTTCAAAGCTTTATGCAATTGAACCATGCAACTGAACCAGAAACCCATTGTACAGAACCATAACTTTAGATTTTAGAGAGAGAAAGAGATAAAAACATGTAGAGAGAGAGGGATGAGCACTATATTGAAAATGGCAGATAGAGAATGGAAAACAATCTCTTTTTATAGAGTTCTAAGTGACTGTAAATAAACAATTTCATAGTGTTATACAACATAATGTAACTATTGGACCATAAAAAACCACCATCAACTTGCAAAAAGCTATCAAGCTACCATCAAGCGTAAAATGTGCTATGCACGCTTTTCGTGCTCTACACATACACTATCACTCTCACTTTGTTATAAAAACATAAAGTATGATAATGTCCAAACCTAAATGCCACTCAATCCATACTCTTTTTTTCAATTGGGACTAAAATCCACTTCTTTCTCTCTGTAAATTAAAAACTTAGAAAACCACACAAATCTAGTGTTATTTTGAAATACGCACAAATATTTTTATAAAATAAAAAAATACTAACAAGGAGGGCACCTTTTATATAAGGGTGTAGTTTGTATAGAGCCGAGGATCAAAACAATCAAATTGGAGCCCACTTTCAAATGGTATCGAGAAATACGGTTTTAAAACCGGAAATTTTTGTAATAGCCTTCAAATATATTTTCAATTTTAATTATGAAATTTAAAACTTAAAAAATAATGTATATCAAGTAGATCTATAAAAACTTGAAAATCTTGAAAATTGACGGTCAAAAAATGCATTACAAGATGCACTATTTTCAAAACTTGAAATCCATTTTTTTCTCATGTCTATGCATCTTGCTGTCGAGATGATCAATTTGATGATATTTGGGCATCAACGTAACCTCTTCTAGTGAAATTTTTGAGATAGGCTCTAATTTGATTGTTTAGAGCTCAGGCTCTATATAAACTTTTCCCTTATATAAACCTCACCTTTTTGGTATTGCTCCAACAAGTCCCCCTCTCATCATCATTGTCCAAGTATGAATTGGATGATGAGTCGATGACAACACTCCTCATTACATATTTTCCACAGTTATGAGGTATATTGTAGCACATTTGCGTTAATCTCCTTTAGAAAAGGGTTAGTACAAGTCCCGGCTCTCGTACAAAACGCAAAGCCACCCTGTAAGTATTGCTAGCTAGAAATTTCAATTCTAAAAAAATGCTCCAATTGATATCTCGATGAAATTGTAGATCTGAAATTAGAAAAGCACACTAAGCCTTAAATATAGGGTATGTGTGGCACCCTTACTTTAAAGTTTAAATTCGATGATCACACCGATTCACTCGGCCCCGACAATTTTTTACGGCGGACTAAAACTTTGGGGTGGGTTTTCAAATGCAGCCTTAAACCTTTTCGTAAGGCCTAGGTCTCATTTAAGCTGCATCCAAATCTAAAACCGGCGAGCAACATCAAAATACAGGAGCGAGATTGCGGCCTCTCTCTCTTCTCTGTCTCTCAAATGAGCTTCAATCTTTCTCTTAAACGAGGTTTCTGGGTGCCCTAAAACAACCAAAATTGCAGAGGTGATTCTACGGTCCTTACCTGAAACTTGGTTCTCTCTTTCTCTCTCTGTGTAATCTCTGTTCTCTCTTCACACGCATGATAATATCTTCTTTCTCTCCCAGTACAATCACTGTGCCCATTCCTTACCTCTCTTTAGATCATTTCTCGATTGTTCAGTTTCTCTATCTATCCCTAGCGATCTAGTTTATTCTGTATTTCATTTACTGGTCTCTCTCTCCTGGTCTTTCCCATTCTCTGTCTGTGTCTTCCCTCTAACATTAATTCTATCTTTCTTGGTACTCTCTCTGTTAGCTCCCCTCGTGTGCAATCCTCCCGCTCCATTTTGTTCTGATCTCTCTATGTATAATTTGTGGATTCTATTGTTTATGCAATAAACTTGCTAGTAGATCTAAATATGCATGACTAGATCTTGGATTCTTTCTTTAATTTTTTTTTAGTTTCACTAGACTTTCCATCTTCTAAGTTCCATGTTTGTGTGAATCATTAATTGGTTTAGGTCTTTTTTTTTTATTTTTTATTTTGTTATTTAATGAATCCTTTGCGTTTTTAATCCAGTTAGGAAGGTTTTGATATAATGTAAGATGATGTATGCAGCTACATTTCATTGTTAGTTAAGATCTGTTCTACATTAAAAAAAGAAAGATTGTAAAAGACAAGAGTATCCAGTGAAGAAAGGAATACCTGAATGCTGTTATACCAAAAATGTTGGATCATCAATTGGTTTGGTTTTGTTTTATTTTGTTATTTAAGCAATCCTTTGCGTATTTAATCAAGTTTGGAGGGTTTTGATATAGTGTAAGATGATGTACGCACCATACATTTAGTTGTTAGTTATGATCTGTTATACGTCAAAAAAAGAAGAAGAAAGATTGTAAAAGACAAGAGTATCCAGTGAAGAAAGGAAACCTGAATGCTGTTATACCAAAATGCTTTTTGTACATGGTATGATCAACACCAAGATAAATACATATTTGACTGGTAACTCTTTATGCATGCTGCACTGATTTCTTTGCCCCCTAGAACCCTTGCAACACACTAAAGTAATTCTAGAATTACTTCCATGAATCTCTTCTCTTGCATTCTCTCTTGATTCATTAATTCTTTTCCGTTTCAAGGTTAGGAAAACTCTTATGTGAATGGTAATGAGTTACAGTCCTTTTTAATCAATTTTTTTTTGTTTTCGCTTTTAAATTACTATTTTCAATAAAAAAGTAATGGAAAAAGGTTAGCATGGTGCTGTGCCTCCAATCTTGCGTGGAAAGGTTGGGAGCCTTAAAAATAGTGTATTTTCACACTATCCAGAGTGTTCATTTTCAGTTGTTCACATGTCTCCATTATTTACAGTATTTTTGGATCTTCAAATTTTATAATTAGTGGGGATAAATATTTTCAAGCCATCATAGGGGTTTGTGGTGCCATAGCTTCAAGGTTAGGTATGGGTGATACATGCAGTCATGCTTGAAATTCTTAAAGGGTTTCTTCCAAATTGGGGAGCTTTGCCAGAATGTGTTCATGCTCTGGGCACAATCCATGAAAAAGTGGAGGGGATAAGGTTTGTTGTTTATTTGTCACTTTCCTATGGTGATTAATGGCTTCCTTGGATATGAGTTCCGTAGGATGTCAAAATTTCTCCATCTTACATGAAGCAAAGTAATACCATAGGATTACTTCATTTTGTGTCTTTTTCCTCCTAAAGCGATTGAAATGAGAAGAGCTTGCTCTTACTAGTACATCCCTGCAATCCCACATCCCTAGAGATCATAAATTGGGTAAGTTCGGTTTCAATAGTAATGTCTACTGACTTCAATCCCCATTATTTTTTTAGCATTATTGTCTACCACAAACCCAACTGTTTGTTGTCTACAATGGGTTTAATCTGTTTAGCCATCAATATAGCCCTAGAAATCCTTCATCATTAGAAAATTTTTCAATTGAAATGCTCATAGAGCATTTGAAGATATACGGTCATTTACACAAAACTTGAGTGATATATTTGAAGGCTATGAACAAACAACTTACAGCAAACCACATTTAGTATCTTGTACTTCAAATCTCCACTTTGTACTTCATTTGGGCAATACAAAGATAATGAATTTCTTTTTGCTTCATCATGAGGTGGCCAGAGAGGTATGGTCTTTCACATGGGAGTATGGGACACTTTATGCATGGTTTGGTTAATGACATAGTAGCATATGCAACTTTGTGGTTCCATTGCCTACAAAAGCATATATCTTATGGACGTTGGATTCTTGTGATGATTTGGGCTTTGTGAAAGGCATCCTTAGCTCTCAAGGAGGCGATCAAGACTACTATCACCATCTGGATGGTGGTTGGAATTTTTTGGGCTTTTAGGAATGTGGACATTCCTGGGGTTATAGTATAGTTATTGGGAGTGGGAGGCTGGGATCAACTCATTGCCACAGCTCCCTACCTTGGGAGCTGCTCAGGGAGCAATTTGGGAGCTACATTTGATATATCTACTAAGAAGTTGACGACCCCAACCAAGCAGCCTATCTACTTCTTTCTCATCCCTTGAGCAGATTTTTTTTAATTTATCTCTCTTCCCAATGGACCGCAATAGAGCAGCTTATAGTCTTTGTGCCACAAATGACAAGGGGCCTGATTGAGGTGTCGGTAGGCGTGGCTAGCTAGTAGAAGAGGGGCTAGTGAATTCGGTGGCTAGTGGAAGGGGCAGCTGTGTCGTCGCCTATAGGAGTTGATGCATCTGATGGATGGCAGGGGCTAATTGTGAGACTTGCATAAGTCCATTTGCTGTGAGGTCATGATCCCCCTTCCCAAAGGGATTGAGACCCGTTTTAGTTAGGGATTCTTTTGTTTTTTCTTATTTTTATTTTTATTTTTTTTTAATTTTTTAAATAATGCTAGGATTGAGATCCCTTTCAATTAGGCTCCATCTCTGAGATTTCAATGAGGTCCGCTTGGGCTGCATCTCTGAGATTTCAATGAGGTCCGCTTCTCCATCTCTGAGATTTCAATGAGGTCCGCTTGGGCTCCATCTCTGAGATTCCAAGGGGGGATTTCCAGCCTAAGCGCCTGATGTATATGGCTATTCTCCTCATTGATACTGTTATCCAGCCTTGGATTTACTGGAAATTTTGCCTTCAGAAGCTCATCAAACTCAAGTTCGAAGTGTTGGGTGATGCAGGTTTTGGCATGGTTTTCTTTTACCTACTCATGGCCAAGGGTGGCTCGGTGACCTTTGTCTTTGTACAGCAAAAACTGTCTGACACTGAATCTAAGTTGCAATCTCCCCATTTTGATTGTGAAACTAATGAGATATTTGCTCTTTCATCAAGAGGATAATTGCAAATCATCACTTGTTTTGGCAGTCAATCTTTGGGCCTAATGTTTGTTTCTATGGCATGTAGATTGCTCCTTTAGTATTATAAGGTGATCCCATTAATATAATACCACTATGATGAAAGCCCAAAGAAGACATGTTGGTACAAACATGGCAAAGAAAACAAAAACTTTGGATCAAACCTTAAAATAGGTTTTCAGTTAACAATTTAAAAAAAAAACATAGCAAAGAAAATCTATTTCATGGGTTAAATGAATATATGTAGAGTAGTCAAATTGGATTGTTATGGTTGTACATAATTGTTTGTAAAGTTTAACTAGTTTGTATGGCTTTCTAAGTTTTGTGTGTTATGCCTTCAAAATGTTGGCTTGGTTCAAGAGATATGTGAGACCTATTTTCAATTATTGCTTTGTCAGGAAGTATATTAGTTTGTAACTACTTGTAATTGTTTCTAGCTTAATCCAATTGGGTAAATTATCAACCCAGAAAACACATTATGCTATTTGGGTGTAAAGTATTTTCATTTATAGCTGAGAGTGTAGTTGCTACCTCCATTGCTAAATTTATAAAGGAAACAATCAAATTCTATTTGGACATTGGTATAATTAGAAAGATTTACAAACGAATTCTATGTAGATGTTGGTATACTTATAAACAATTACACCTGCTTGGTCCCCCATTGAAAGGGATCTTGATCCCTAACTAAGAGCGACCTTGATCCCTGACCAAAATCTGTTTCAATTCCTATGTAAGGAGGATCATGGCCCCACTAAAAATGGGCCTGTGCCTGCCCCACATTAGCTCCTGGCCATCAATGAGATGCATTAACTACTGCAATCAATGATGCAATTGGCTGTTCCACTAGCCAGCCACCTCCTCCACTAGCACCTCCCACTAGCGAGCCATGTCTGCCAGCACCCAAATCAGGTCCCTCGTCATTTGTATTATAGCTAAGGGTGTAGTTGGTACCACAATTAGCTATATCCATTTTATGTAGCATTGGTAACTCATAAAGACGTGCCTTGATCAACAATAACTTTCAAAACTATTTAACTGTTTGATCAACAATACATTTGAATTTCAATTGCTTGCAAATGCCGCTTTAAAATGCTATGGTAATTCTGGACATTTGTACTAGCAGGTGCAAATTTTGACATGCTTATTGGTAATTGTTTTTCTTTAGCATGTACCGAGGTCTCTTTTGTCCTCTCGCTATTTCTTGTTAGGCAGCAGGACCTGGAACTGCAATGTCAACCACCTCAGTTCTATTTTTTATTTGTTCTGTGTGCTTTTAATCCTCTCGGATTTTATTGCATTATTTTAGTCTTTTTGAATTGGACCCTTTTCGTACCTCCTCTTCTTTGGTTTCTCATTACGGTGGACAATTTTTTTGTCCTGAGTACATAATTCTTTTTCTTTTAATAGCATGAGTGAATTGTCCTCATACTTCTTGAAAAATTTACTTATCAAAAGAATGTATATTCGTTCTACTCTTATGACCAATGCCTTTGCCTAACGGCTATAGAATTTTTTAGGCATTATTTTAACACATGACTACTTGTCTAGACATAATTTCACTTGTAGATGACTAGCTCCCTTGTATGGCTACACAAATAAATACTGAATTTGCATATTGTTTTTGCTAGGCTCTTATTTTTCTCATCTCAAATTATACTTTGGTTTTGCCATTTATGACAGACCTTAAACATTCACAAAGCGGCAGGTGGATTACGTGGATCTCAAGAAGACGCCCATCAGGGTGTTAGGTACTAACTTATCTCCTTACATGAATTATCTTAAATAAATAATTGTTGAACAACATTTCTAAAATAGACATTCTAATGGAGTCACATGCACCAATTAAGGAAATTGTGCCCTTCAACGTTATAATTGATATATACAAGTTGCAACTGTATATAATTGACTGGTACGCTTCTTTGAAACTTTACTTTTGGTTGCATGTTTTAGTTGAGACGTGTTAACTCAAGCTCGAATTTGTATGTTAAAGTGTGGTACGAATCCATAATACATGTTTATTCACTTATTCATAAATGTACCATTTTCAGTTGATTTGATTTATTTGATTTATCAACCAGATCAAATCAATAATAAACTTCAATTCTTTGTTTCATTAATACAAAAGAGAGTAAGGAAACAAAATTCTTAGCATCAAAACAAAGGTTGCTAGGTCTTTAAATCCTTGCGACTAGGATCAAAGGACTATTGGAAGGATTAACAATCCTTCCTTTCTTAGTCCCCATCATATTCTATTTGTTGTCGTGAATTAGATTTGATGGGCTAATTAGGAATCAAATCAAAAGCTGTTTAAAGGGATGAAAATACCCTTATCTATACTAGGACTGAGTGCTTTTAATATTGGATAAAAAATAAATCGAAATAAAGCTAGAGAATTAAAGTAGAAATCAAAACTTTTTCTCTTATGTGACCAGTGTGGGAAAAATTGGGCGGTTCAAATTCTAACCCCCTTGCTGAGCCCGGTTAAATCGGAACCAACCACTGGTTGGTTCTGGTTTTGGTGAACCAGCCAGGTATTTAAAAAAATTATATAAAATCCCAAAAAATAAGGGATTTTGTTTGGAATGTATTTTTAAATATTTTTTATCATTTTGGAAAAGATTTGAAAATGGTTTGGCATTTTTCCATCTTTTTTGGTAAATTTCAAAAATACCCCTGGGAACAAATTGGTTCTTTAAAATCTATTTTTTCATTAATTGCCTCCGGCACCATGTCTGGTATACCATTCCGGTTTGATGTTTCCTACACTTTATGTGACCCATCCAGGATGAATGTATGTAATAGTGTCTCCTTATTGTTTCACAGAAAGAGAAACAATACAGCTTAGATCAAATAAAAGGAGATAGAGGAATGTGAGATGAAATCAAGCAATTTTAGGAATTTGATTTAAGTCTAGGAGATGAGATTTCAACTCCATAATCTTTTGAAATCTGTCCTTAAACAAAATCACCCCAAATGAAAAATCGATCTCCATCAAATTTAAAGCTAGCTTACAGCCTGAAAGAAGTGGGTGGAGAAGTACTTCGGATCAATTCCAGAAGGTCACCACAACTAGTTCTAGGGTTTTGAAATTAATGAGGTGTAAGAAATTAGTGTTTGATTTTTGACACAAAATTTAGGTTAGGGTTTCAAGGGATTTAATCTGGGGTTAATTGTAGAGACAACCTATGGTTTATTTTAGGGTTTCAGTGGTTTTTCTTTTTAATTGGGGCTATTTGCTAGTTAGTAGGGTTATGATAAAACAAAAATTTAAAGATTGAAGTAAATGGGAAAAATAAGGGAGAAAGAGAAAAATAAGAAATTAGGAAGAATACTAAAGGATTCAAGGAATGAAAAGAAGGAAGAAAGGAAAGAAAAGAAGTAAGATAAAAAAGAAAGGAAAGAAAAAAGTTCGAATGGAAAGAAAGGGGAAAAAAAAGTAAGAATAGAAAGAAAGGGACGAAAAGAAGTAAGAAATGGAAAGGCAGGAAAGGGAACTTCATAGAAGGAAAGGAAAGAAAAAGAAAATGAAAAAGATATATATGGAATGAAGAGAACAAAAAGTTGAAGAGTACCTTGGAAAGGAGGGACCTTAGGAGGTGCTACCGAGCCTTCTTTATGACCTTCAATCAGAGGGCTCAAGAAAGCCTTTCTAGGGTTTTTGTTTTGTAAAATTTTCAAAATAGAACACCTTTAGGGGCTGGACCTCTAACTAAAATGAAATAATAAAACAACCAAATTGCCTCTAAATTCTCTACAACACCCAAAAGACATAATACCCTAACAAAACTAAAATAAAGCCCAAATAACCCTAGTTTCACTCTTAAATTACAAATAAAAAACTAAAACCTAAATATAATTCAAATTAAACTGGTCCTATAGAAGGCCGTGATTCCCTCATCAATTCTCCCTGGGTGGGGAGGAACTTGAACCTATTGAGTACTCGGATAAAGATCCTCTCACCTCCTCGATAACTTATGCTCACTAATCCACAAAATAATGAGTCAGTGGGTGATCTTTCCTAGGAACCAATCAACTAAGTATCTTCTGTATGAACCACGAGGTGTATCAGTGTTCCAAACATTAACCACATCCTCGATCTCGTTCTGAGGACCTCTCGGTAGCTCTGCAATTTTTACTCTAGGGAACCAGCATCCAAGTGTACCAGTGGCGGATCACCTCGAAACTCGTAGAGATCAGCAATATCAAAGATCAATGATATGTGGAAGTACTCATGAACGTCTAGGAAACAAGGCGATAAGCATTATCATCTAATTTCTTGAGAATCCTGTATGACCCAAACATTCACTGAAGTAACTTGCGATAGGTACTGATTTGATACGTCTCACTCCTCAAATGTACCATGAGAAAGTCCCCTACAGTTAATGATCTCGAGCACTGATACTTGGGGCGTAATTGGCTCTTAGCTTGTCGAGGACTTCCTTCTGTACTTGAGGTGTTAGCCATAGTCGTCGGCTTTGGTACTCCTCCACCACACAAGGTAATGAAACACGGTCTGATACGTGTGGAATGGAGTGACTGTACACTTCTTGAAGACTTTTCACTCAATCAATTAACCGAGCTATTATAAGCAAATTCTGCCTGAGGAAGACTTATATCCCATTGGTTCAGCCTCACTCGTAGGACATCTCAACAAATTTCCCAAACTGCATTTTACTACCTTAGTCTGTTATCAGTTTCATGATGACATGCACTGCTGAATTGTAGAGTTCGTTTTTGTTTTGATCACAGTGTTCTCCATAAATGACTCAGAAATCTGTTATCCCAATCGGAGGTGATCAACTTATGTACACCATGAAGACGAACTTCTTTTAAGAAAAGATCTGCGACATGAGATGCATTCTAGGTCTTTTGATAGGGAATAAAATGGTCCATTTTCGAAAATTGGTTCACAATAACACGAAATAATACCTCCTAGTGGTTCCAGGCAAACCCAATACGAAGTCCATCCTAACATCTTTCCAAGGAGCATATGAGATGGGAAGTGGAGAGTAGAAGCAGTTATTTTGAGGCTGACCTTTGAAAACTTGACAAACTCGACAATGTTCCCGACATAGCTTCATGTTGCACCTCATTGTAGGCCAAAATGTACCTCACATATTCCAACACAATAGAGCTTGAACCAAATAATGCCTCTAGTGCCATAGAGCTTGAATCATCACATAAAATTCTTTCATGTCCTGCAACAGGGTCGAGCATCATTCAATTTTTCACTAAAGAATGCCAGATGATACCCCTCCTAAGTCAACAAAGCTCCTATCCTAACATGGGGCGCACCACACTCCACCTTAAAGACCTTAAAATCCGATGACTGATGCACTTGTCATTTTGGCCTTTACAGTTCGAAGCTCTCTCCTCTGCTGCAGGAGTCCTTATAAATGCCCATTTTTTATGTAATTAGTGATTGGGGAGATAATTTCGGTTAAATCTCCAATAAAAATGAAGACCCTGAAAACTGCACACATCCCCAATTTAACTCAGGGTCGGCCAGCTCTTGACAGTTTCCACCGTAGTTGAATTGACCTTAATCCCTTTTGCCCACACAATGTAGCCTAGACTAATCAAACTTCATGTCAAGTTACACTTCTTAAGGTTGACATACAACTTGTTCTCCATCAAGATCTCTAGTACTTGCTAGTGTACTAAATTATCATTTCGACTGATACGCTATATCAGAATATCATCGAAGTATGCAACCGGAAATTTCTCAATGGATGGTTGTAACACTTGGTTCAACATAAATATGCTTGTTTCATTGGAAATCCAAAGGGCACGACCAACCACTTACAAAGACCCTCACGAGTTATTAAGGCTGCCCTTCCAAAGTGTATTTTTTATTTATATTTTTCAATTTTGACTTCAATTTATACCCCTTATAATATGGAATTAATTATTTGAATATTTGATTTTATGTTTATTTCTGTAATTTTTTACCCTTTTTTCTCTTTATTTCATCTTTTTTTTTATAAAAAAATTGACTGCTGATATGGCAGTTTGACTTGGGACCATTAAGTGATTGATTTGACCACCAGTTTGTAATTTTTAACACTGGTTACAATATAATTTCTTTTGGGCAAAGCAGAAGAATGGCCTGGTATGTGGGTCCATCAACCTTGCGCAATCTAGCTCCAGATATCTTGTGTTTCTAATACGGACCTTAAGCTGGGTTACTTTCCTTATATTTTCGCGTCTTCAAATGTGAACTGAAAGTTGGCTGCTGCCTTTTTGATGTATATGATGAAGCTCGCATTTGTTGTGATGAAAATAGGGAAAAATGAGTGATTCAAAAGGACTCAACCCAGGGGTGATTGTTTTAGTGGTTGTGGTGGGACTAATTCTCACTTTCCTCGTTGGAAATTATGCGCTCTATATATATGCCCAGAAAAATCTGCCTCACAAGAAGAAGAAGCCAGTTTCTAAGAAGAAGATGAAGAGGGAGAGACTCAAGCAAGGGGTGTCTGCACCCGGAGAGTAGGTTATGTTCACCATAATTCAATTTAATCATTAGGATCTGTGTGTGTGTGTGTTGTGGTCAAATGTGCATGTTTAGAACGATGAGCAACGATTATATGCATCTTTCGTTCATGTAAGTACTGTTTACAGGATGGTGAACCTGACTGCTTATGATTATGTATACATGTAGCATTGTCGTTAGATTTTGACCCCTCTTTTTCTCTCTCTCACATACCCCGGTTATTACCTTCCCTACTTCGATAATTTTGAGAACATAACAGGGAAGAGAGGTGATGCTCTCATGAAGAGCTTTCAAAATACATAGTATGGATACATGCAAAATCATTGCTTTTACACATGCATACCTGAGCGTGCATAGCCCGACCAATGTGCTGGATCATGTGGTTCTTATGTGCATCATATTAAATATTTACTGTTGGAGGTATGTTTGTTCAAAACATGCATAGGGATGTACTGCATTTATAGGTGCATCTAGGTCTGCCAAGAGGCCGACATGGCCAGTGGGCCTGAAAGCCTGCCTTGGTGCCTGTGTGTAAGGCCCGCATGCTGGGCCCAGGATCCTATTTAGTTTTGAGCCAGGTGAAGGCCCAAGGGTGGCTAGCATGAGCCCTTCCCAGTCCATATTTGTGGGCTCCCTATATTCTAATTGTAGGGTTCACCTTAACCACTACAATAAAAGACGGATCGGTAACTTGAACCTCACCATCTCGAAAACTAGTTTGGATCGGTTGATAGGTGGTCTGAATCGTTCGATCAGTCAGATCGGGTTGTTCTGATCGTAAAAAAGCTTCAAAAAAATGTTAAGAATCATTATAAATATTTGTTTTCAATTTTTTATTTTTTTTTAAAAGGGTAATGCATTATGGACTTTCAATATATTATGAAAATACGTGAATATTGAGATGTCGTTTCTTGTTTGAGTGGCTATTGATATTAAATTTTGATATTGATTTTTTATAATAATTTTGAAACACTAATTTTAATTTATTTTATGATTTTTAGTGAAGAAACGTGGGAGAGATTTTTTATTTTCGATACTAATTGTAATTTTTTATACTATTTTTGTGGCAATGAGGTTTTTGTGAAGGGAAAAGTTTATATAGAGCCGAGGTTCTAAACAATCAAATTTGTGCCTACCTCAAAAATTTCACTAGAAGAGGTTGTTTTGATGCCTAAATATCTTTAAATGAATCATCTCGACATTAAGATGCATAGATATGAGCAAAAATGCATTTCAAGTTTTAAGTGTATTTTGTAATGCATTTTTGGACCGTTAATTTTCAATATTTTCAAGTTTTCATAGATCTGTTGATCTACACTATTTTTGAAGATTTTAAACTTTATAAATAAATATAAAAATATATTTTAAGGATATCCTAAAGATTTTCAATATTGAAACTAACACTATTTGAAGGTAGGCTCTAATTTGATGGTTTAGAGCTTAGGCTGGTTTAGAGCCTAGGCTCTATACAAACCACACCTCTTCGTGAATGCTACTATTTGAAGGTAGGCTCTAATTTGATGGTTTAGAGCCTAGGCTCTATACAAACCACACCTCTTCGTGAATGCCTCTCTTTTTTTTGATGTTTTTAATGAATGGTTCTCCACTCATCTTGTTGAGAATGCAGAAACGTTGGTTTATGATATAAACGACGGTCCAATGAGTGATCGAACTGTTTGTGATGTAAACTTTATGAAGATTTCTTTTACGATATAAATTTGCAAATGAGCGATTGAATGGTTTATGATACCTTTAAACAAAGGTTTATGATATAAACTTTATACAAGATTTTATTTATATTATAAGCCAATATTTTAAAAAATATAAATGGTTCAATTGCTCATATCTCCCATTGTTTAAA